TCCTGGGTAAGCCACAGATATATATACATATATATATATATATATATATATATACAGTGACCGCCAAAAAGTTGCGGACAAGTTGCCTTCTTCTTTTCATCGCTCACTTTCGAATGGAAAACAGAGATGAAAAAATAATTGATTTGCATGGGGTGATAGAGCTCTTCAAAAGCTAAAACCCACATTGCGCTTTCTGGAAAATGTTTATTATAAAAATTTTGAAAATCTTTTTCTAAAAAAATCCGAAAATGGCCGCGTCACAATGTCGCGGACATTAATTCTTGGAACGCGAAAATTTTCTTTTAGGTCTTTTCTTGGAGCAAAAACAGAAGTTATCCGGACAGGTAAGCATATTATGTTGTAGAGCTCATCGAGGACAATAATTGGGTAATGGTTCCTTCCAAAAAAACCCAAGCTTGAATTTTGTTTTGCTTTTTTCGAAAAATAATTTTCAATTCCCTTCTTCAAGCCAAATTTCTTCACATGGAAATCTATTCAAGGCATTCCAACAAGGCTGTTCGGATAAAATAGATGCTCTTTGCCAACCTCTATGCATCGGACGTGTACTGGTGAGTTTCTTTGCTAAAAATGGCTCTTGACAGTGTGTGCATATGACCCTACCTGCACCTCGCTGCTGACTTTTGCAGGCTTGTATCTTAGCGGGCAGTTAATCTACGAGCCTGCAAGTAGGCTCATTCGGAAGACTTCCTGGACACGAAGGTATACAAAATAGTTGGGTATGAGAAACAGCAGAGATTTGGCGGATGGGGTGCTAAAGCGCAGCCTTAGAGGCGAATGGAGTGAACGCTCTTATCAACACTAGAACAGTATTGGAGCTCCGAAATGGGTCTATTACAAGAAAGTTAACAGTTTTGAACTTACGGGATAGAACTGGTGGCGAAAGGAGCTTTGCTCAACTTCACTGAAAAATCCTCAGCCTACAGCTGAAGCTGCGTTTTATCATCCCATCCGTCAATTCTGCAGGGTTTTTCAAACCCAACTCATTTGCATACTATCGTGTCGAGGAACTCATGCTCTTTCGAATGAGCCTAAGTGCGGGCTCGTAGATTGACTGCCGGCCGAGCTACAAGCCTGCAAAGTACAAGTCAGTGGTGAGGTGCAGGTGGGGTCATGTGCATTTACTGTCAAGAGCCATTTTCAGCAAAGAAACTTAACAGCACACGTCGAATGCAGAGAAGATGTCAAAATGTATTTATTTTATCCAACTAGCTTTGTTGGGATATCTTGAATAGGTTCCCATGTGAAGAAATTTGGCTTAAAAAGGGAATTACAAGTTATTTAAAAAAAAGCAAAAAAAATTCAAGCTTAGGTTTTTTGGAAGTAACCACTACCCGATTGTTGTCCTTGATGAGTTCTACAACGTAGTATGCTTACCTGTCCAACTTCTGTTTTTGCTCTAAGAAAAGACCTAAAAGAAATTTTTCGCGTTCGAAGAATTAATGTCGCGACACTGTGACGCGGACATTTTCGGACTTTTTTTTAGGAAAAAGTTTTTAAAGTTCTTATAATAAACATTTTCCAGAAAGCGCAATGTGTGGGTTGTAGCTCTTGAAGAGCTCTATCACCTCATGCAATATAATCATTTTTTTATCTTTGTTTTCCATCCGAAAATGAGCGATAAAAAAGGGCGGCTTGTCCGCAACTTTTTGGCGGTAACTGGGAACTCATGCTCTTTGCACCCGCTCCTGAACTGTTCGTTAACGTTTACAAATGAAGGATATAGAAGCTGAAAACCAAAATCACTCAAAATTTGATTTTTTCGTGTAACAATAAAAAATCGGAAACTTGCAAAAATTGGAGCAGTCGGTATTGTAGGTTCTTTCGCCAGCTCTTTCTAACTATGCAAAGTTTGCGCCGATTAAGCGTCTTCATGAAAAGTATTTCCCTGAAAAATGCCAAAATAAATCAAATTCGCCCTTTTGTATTGCTTGCTCGAAAATCATAACTTCTCACAGGAACGTCCAAACAGCACAAACTTTTCACAGATGCAAAAGGTAGGCCAAAACATATGTACTGACGATTTCAGATTATTCTGCAGCATTCCAGATTTTTGGTGACCTAACTCAAAATGGTCAAAGTTTACATGGTCCTAGTTTTCCATTTTTATCTCTGCTTTCGGTGTGAAACAGAAGATCCAGAAAAAGCAATTGAAAGCGGAAGACCTAATCTTCTAATAAAATTACAAGCAAAAATCCGTTGAAACCTCTCGAAGTTACAAATTTTTAAAAATGAAAGGACAGAACTTTTGGACCAACCTAATATTAGGTTGGCGGATAATTTCTGTTACACTTTTTTCGTAAAATTCGAAAGTTTCAGAAGTTCTCTAAAATCTTCAAAGTTGCTCCATATGTAGGCCACTGCAGGTCGTACACAACAGTACGACCGATGCCGCAAATGCACAATTAGCCAGCGACTTCAAGACAACTTTATAAGAACATTCAAAATTGTCATTTTTTCTTTGATTTTTTCTCTGCGTCTCACTGTGTTTTTTCTCTACCATAATTTTTTTAGAACATATTCTCGCATCCTCTCTTTTATAGTGGCAGTTTGGTGCCACTAGCACGCCAAAAACAAGGGGTGAAAAACAACTCTAAAAATCAAAAATTCGTCGAAAATTTTTCTTTTTGTGTGCTTCGTGTAAGATTTGATACGTAAAGGTTGGGAATAATTTTTGTAATTTTTCAAAGATTGTTCTTCATGTCAAAATACCAATGTGCGCTAACATGGCGCAACATGTAGCTCATGTGATGTGTGCGGACATGATTGCGCCATCCCCTTACGTTCGCTAAAAACTATGGACCATATCCTGCCCGAATACCACATCTCCCGATCACTTCCCAATCACCTGGAAGAATGCCAACCCGCTGACGAAAACGTCCATAAAATGTACTCCCACCGATAAAGTGGGTGTTTTGCGCATGAACCGCGGATCTGACAGTACTGGCGGGTAGATCTTTGCACCCCGCCAACACTCCTCAAACGTAAGAATTTTCGAAGGTTTCTTAGATTTTTAAAAAATAAAAATAAAAGTGTAACAGAAATTATCCGCCAACCTAATATATTAGGTTGAACCTACAGTTCTTTCTCCCATTTTCAAAAATTTATAAACTTCTCAAAGAATCTGCAAGATCTAAATTTTGCATAAGAGAAAAGCTCATGCTCTTTGCATGGATATTTGAACCGTTCGCTATCGAGAACAGATAAAGGAGATTGAAGCTGAAAACCAAAATAACTCAAAATTTGAATTTTTCGTGTTGGGTCATAAAAAATCGGAGACTTGCAACAAAAATCAGAGCAGTCAGTATTGTAGATTTTCATCAGCTCTTTCTGACAGTGCAAAGTTTGCGCCGATTGAGCATTCCTTTGAAAATATGATTTTCGAACAAGCAATAGAAAAGGGCGAATTTGATTTATTTTGGCATCAGGGAAATCATAACTTTTTGTAGAGACGCTCAATCGGCGCAAACTTTGCACTGCTAGAAAGAGCTGGTGAAGGAACCTATAATAACGGCTGCTCCGATTTTTGTTGCAAGTTTCCGATTTTTTATGACCCTACACGAAAAATTCGAATTTTGAGTTATTTTGGTTTTGAGCTTCTATCTTCGTCATTTGTGAACAGTAACGAACAGTTCAGGTACAGATGCAAAGAGCATGAGTTCCTCTCTTACGAAAAATTTCGATCATTAAGAATTTAAAGAGTTACAGATTTTTGAAAATGGTGCGAACGATTTCGGGACAACCTAATATACAGGGTGTCCCAAAATAATGTGCACATGTTTGATTTTGAATTCTCTTATTGTGAGGTCCTTCGAGAAGCGGTAAGCGCAATTTTGTAGAGCTGGCTTCAACTTACTCTTCATTACTGTAGGATTACGATAGAAACTTGAAAGAGGGTTTTGGGTCGTGAAAGACCATATTTTGCCTCAGAAAGGAATCAAAACAGCCTAAAAACTTTTACGCTAGGCCAATTAGAGTTGCCGATTCTAACTGTAAATTTCCCAACTTATTATGATGCTTCACTGAACAGTTATGTGAGGTAAGCAGTAGCAGCCATTTTCTCAATGCTCCTAAAAAGTGCGGTTAACTGTTTAGAAAGCTTCGCAATCTTGAAAATAGTTTAAAAACCTTATTAAAGTTTTCACATCTTTTTGAAAATTTCTGAAACGGCAGCTTTTTCCACAGTGACACCATATGTTCCAAGTTCCTACCGGAATTCTACAGTAATGAAGAGCGGTCGGTGATTCGCTCTAAACTGTAAATCTAAGTTGAAGCCAGCTCTACAAAATGACGCTTACTGCTTCTCGAAAGACCTCATAATAAGAGAGTTATTCAAAATCAAACAGTGTGCACATTATTTTGGGACACCCCGTATATAAGGTTGTTTTAAAACAGTGGAATGAAGGTAGGGAACGCTTCAGGCACTATCTGACGCAGCTTTCCTTACTTTTTTCAACTATCGTATTCCCCCTGTGCCAACTCCCAGCCCCATGACTCATAGTTTGCCAAAATCGATAAAATCGATGTTGATTGATAACGCAAAGTAGCCTAACGTAGCCACCCGCCCTGCCCCGAAGTGTATGTGTGCCAAGTTTGGTGCGGATCGTTTCAGAAATGGAATTTCCTATTCGGAACATACGTACAGACAGACATACATACATACAGACCAGTGGCGGTCCCAGAAATTCCGCGGGGGGAGGGGTAGCGGCAAAAAATTTTTTTAAATGAAGGTGCGCAGTAGAAACAAGTCATTTGCACCTTCTTATAGCTCACTTTAGTAAGTTTCAAAAATTTCGCGACTTATTCTCAATGGGGGGGGGGAGGACCGGCACTGATACAGACATACAGACAGACAGGCAAACAGACATTCACTTTATATGTGAGATTAGGAAGGAAAAAGTGACAACAGAGGCTTCAGTTATGGTCGTCTTGTGAACATGTTGTAAAGTGCTCATTCGAGGCAAGTTCTTTCTTTGGCTCAGGTCTCACCACCCCAAAAGGAATGACCCTTAGAGATAATGCGTGGATAGGATTGTACAGAGTAGAGTCCGATTGGCAGTGGACAGATGATACCAAGGTGGATTACCTGCACTGGAGCGTCGACGATCCCAACAACGCTGAAAACAGCGAATACTGCGTGTTTGTAAGTTTCCATGGTTTCTCGAAAGCTAACTCTGTTTTTGACGTTTGAGAAAAGCATACTAAAAGTGATTTTGTCTTAAATGTTATACACTTGTAACAGTTGTAAGTCATGTGCAGATAGTTCAATTTTGATGACTTTACTTTCTCTTCCTTGCATTATTATTTCTTCGTTTAGCTTAATTTCAAACGTCCATTGCAGATGTTCGAATATGAGTTGAAGAAGTATAAAAACGGATATTGGGGTGACTGGGGATGCCATATAAAAACCCAACACCACATATGCAAACGTCGTGCTCGACATGGGAATCGACATGGGCATTGTAATGATTGCTGCCGCTGATGACATACCGTCGTTGCACTTGTCCATTTTGCAATAAAGATTTAGCATGATACTATGTCGTTCCAAATTTTCCGTCCGTTCACAGATTTATTGATTTAAAATATTGTAACTCTATTCAAAATCAACATTCCCAAACAAATTGAATTTTGCTGAAGCAAGATTATGGCTAAAGACGGTATGTCATATGAACGAGTCATTTGAGAGGGAAATGAGGACAGGCACACATGTAGAATTTCATATGTTCTCTGTTCGTAAAACCTGGGCATTGTAGTAATACTATCTTCTGCGATATTTTTGCCACAAGGTTTGTTATAAGTATTATTTATTCAGCCTGACGTTTCGGCAATAATGCCTTCCTCAGAGGCCTGAAAGATAGTGGCTCAGTATTCGCTGCTTTATACGACGCCGTCCTCCACTTGCTTCATTCAATTCCTTTTAAGTGGACGGTACTGAGTCCTCATGCTACGGCAACTCACCAATGTCAGCAACGCCGCTCACTTACGATCCACCCACGGATGACAAATGACTGAATTGTCACACCAATGGACAGCTTAAGTAGTTGTGGGTATCTTATAGCTGACAATAAGATATGAACGACATAAGATCGCTGGTGATAGATAGCTGTTCATTCTTGCCGTTCATCTTTGGCTGACGCGAAAGGATGAACGACGCTTCCAGTGCTTTGCGAGCCGCAATTTTACTTTCATACGCCAAAATCGTGCACTTAACGCAAAAATCGTTACCGCCGTGATCTGCTCTATGTTTTCCGAGTGGGCTCATCGTGCTCCCCCGTTTCTTACTGGCTAGATGTTCGTTAACGCGGATGCTGAGTAAACGCCCCGTCTCTTCGATATAGGTTGCATGACAATCCAGACATTCGAGTTCGTAGACTACGCCAAATTTAGCACAATCCTCTACTCTGCCATTAGGGCATACAACGCAGTTCTGTGTGATACAAGCCGTATCATATAGACGATTACATACTAGCTGTCGCTTGATGTTGTTTGCAGGAATGTTTACGAGTACAACATCTTGGTTCAGCTGTGCTTGTATGATACACCGCTTGAACTCGTTTGTGACCCTGTCAGAGATGAATGGTAAACTCAAGGGAAACATGGCTCTAGTTTGGTCATGTTGCTTACCATTAGGTGTTCTTTCCGAATGTCTGGATCTTGCTGGAAAGTAGCCGTTATTTTCTGCAATCTTCCTTGCGAGCTTGAGAGATTCTTGTTTTTCTTCCTCTCCACTGCAAACTTCTGCGGCTGTTTTAAACATGTTGCACACAACTGCTCTTTTGACCGAACCGACCACAAATTTATAAGGATCAGCGAAATCTTCGAAGTAGAAGTCAAGGACAGAAATAGTGATAAGTGATATGCGTAAATCGATTCTGTGCAATATATTTTATTTGTAAAAAAATTTTTCGACAATGTGGGCGTTTCCAATGCTTAAGCTGATATTATAGGAAGCTTTCATCCCAGAAGACGACTGGCATTTTCTATTAGAAGCTTCGCAGATATCGACAAGAGACCCAGAGTTAGTAGTTCTTGAATCTAATCCAATCTATCTAATATATAAGGAATCATAACGTCCAATCAAAAATCCTCAGATAGCGGGAAACCGGGTGCGTTCTCGAAGCGCGCGGCAATCTAGCAACCTTAACACGTTTCGGGCCGCGAAATCGCACGCGGCGAAAAAGAGTGCACTGTCAGCCATAAGCCAACAAAGGGACCGCATTTCGTGGACTGTGTGCTACATCTGTAATCAGCTTGTCAGATAAGTTCCATACCCAAAGTTCTGAGTGAACTTGAAGTGTTTGAAGTTTGTCGCTTTTGAAGGATAGGAACAAGAACTCAGTTTCTAATAGTATCCCAAAGTATCTATGTTGTAAACGGTACACATCAGTATTGAAACTACAGTTTTTCTCTTTGATGTCGAAGCAAAGAAAAGTTGCGACGTCGCACGCGTCGTTCGCGTTCTCGCACTTTGTTGCAACTGTTGCAACTGTTGTTCGATTTGTCCTCATATCTCCTAAATAAATATCGGCGGCACAACTCTACGAAGTTACTTGAAAAGTAGAAGCTTAGGCATTTGACTTGCCTACCTTGGAAAGAAAACCTCCTGTAGACGTCAAAAAGATCTTTCAAGGCAGCGTGCTGCACCATGTGCAGCACCGGTTCGAAACATGTTAAGATTACTGGTTCACTGATTGTATACTAGGAAACATTTGACTTCTGGTTCCCATCCGCCGTGGTTCAAATTGAGCAAAATGGGCGTGTCAAAGCAAATCTCTGCCAAATGGGTTTGATTCATGTTGAGCTTATGCACTTTACTAACTGAATTGAGAAAATATTATAATTTTAGAAACTAATTTAAAAACTAATGCCTTTGCATCATTTTCAACAATGTACAGCCTATAACCTTTTATTCCAAATATGCTTATCATTAAGGAATCGGAGCAATTAGCTTTATAGACCTTTTCTTCTTGTTGGAAAGTTCGTGAAAGGTCTGTTGGTATTTTTACCCCTTCAGTGGGCTGGAACGGAACGAAAATCGATGATTTTCCACCAAAGATTATATTTTTACTTCCACTTTTTCCTCCTTTCTCTTCTCGTTCCAGACGTTGCAGTATTGCAGAGGATTATGATCTGAAAAGTTGCGAGTTTGCAGACGGTACGCAATGACGTATGCCCTAACTTCTCTCGAATATGTCAGAGCAAAATGCACATTTTTTTTTTGTAGCTGAAAGCAAAGAAACCTCATTTTGCATGTGTATATTCAGCCATTTTCAATGTTTTGCGTATTCATAATAAAAAGCATTATTCATTTACTTGAACGGTGTATTCACACAAATTACGAGCTCAAATGCTTCCCTAGATTGCTTATTTGCTTCAATGTGTCAAATAACTAGGGACCAATTTCTATGTAGGTGAGCTGGCGGAAAGATACTAAACTTGTACAAAAAATGTAATTCAAAGAACTTACGGTGTAGTGAGTGCGGCAAGGTTCTTTTTGGGACCGAGTGCTTCAAAGACCAATTAGGTAACGAAGGTGCCGGCAAACTCCCTTATCAACCTTAGTAGAAAATCGGAAAAATTGACTTTTTTACTTCATTTCTTCTCCCTACCTCATCCTTTCAACTAACTTCCGTTGAAACGACTTGCAAGACTTTTTGATAAGATGCAGGCTTTTGCAAAGTCAAAAAAAAGTTTGTTTGCAAACTCCAAAACAACCATCTCGTCATCTAGCCACCGAACCCTCGGCGATTCGGCTTTCACTTGCCAAAATGAAGTATCCTAGAAAAGAAGAGTACGGCTTGAAGCTTTTGCAGCTTTTGCAGATTAAGTCACTCATGATGGGAAAGGATAGGTAATGATGTGATGATTTTGCAGCCTAGAGCAGCGTGTAGTGATCAGAAACAGCTTAAAGTAACTTCATATTTATTAGATTCATCACAGTTGGCAAAATTTAAGCGCTTTGCTCATGCTCAGAAAATTCTTCCCTTTCAGTGCAGATAAGGCTATTAAAAATGATTATAAATTTGTTGCTATTTGTTTCGAAGCAGCAATACGGCTAAGTCACACGACTATTGGCTTTACATCAACTTCATTTAGTCTGTGACTTTTTAAGACCTTTTCTCAATCAGGAGGGAGCTTTGATTTTTCGCTTCATGGAGCTCAGGCTTTTGGTGAAAATGTGCAGACGTGTATTTAGAAACGAGGAGTTTCCGATAAACAATGCAAATCTACAAGTCAAGCAAGTTTGATAGTGTAAAAACAGTTTTCCTTCACTAATTAAAATTGGTATACTTTCTGTTTGTGTATTGTAATTCATCGTTTGAAAAGATGATAAATGAAAGCGAGTCACAGAAAGCTTCTCCATGGATGTTCTTAATACTAGAAAAAGGTTTTCCTCAAAGCCAAATGCCTTTGTAAGGAAAAAAATGTTAAACTAGGTTTGAAACAACAAAATATGGTTCTGGCAAGATCAAAATTTTCCATAAATGTGATCTGAACACTATACTTTTACACTACACTCTCTGGACTACACCACGATTTTTTAAATGAAGGTGGGTGGCATTGGCCAAGTTTGCTGGTCCATGACCCCCAAAATCTTGAAAAAGGGGACGTGGCTGACGCCAGTCCCCGGAAATTTTTTTAACGAGGCTAATCTAAATATTTATAAATTTTTAAAAATTATTTTAATTATTTGCAAAAATGAACAAGTCACTTGCACATTTTTATAACCCATGTAAGTAAATTTCAAAAATTTTGCGACCCATTCTCGGGAGGGGGGGGGGGGGGGGGGGGGAGGGGAGGGAGCGCCCCTCTCCCGCCCCCGCCCCCTCCCCCCTCCCTCCTCAAATAATCGCGGGGGTAGGCGACCATGCGATTTATGGGGAAGCGGGCATCGAAAAAATAGTTCGCTGTTTTCTCGCGGTTCTATAGAATTTTGGATAAATATTGGACGAATTTTAGACGAATGCTCGGAGAACAATTGCGGTTTTTCATAGATCAGTTGCGGCACAGTGGCCGCATTCTCGCGGACTTTCCGCGAAAATTTGCAAATGAGGACCGCACAGACCTTTATGAAGGACCGCACAGCCCGTAGGTACCTTTCGTTGAGAGAAAGTACCCCAAACTCGGGTAATAAAACCATCGGTGACACCTCTGCCATGTAGAGTGTTAATTTTGTTCGGCGTAATCCCGAAACTGTAACAAGAGTCAGAGCGCTCGCTGAAAGAAATTATTTGACGATCGCTTGCAGAGATTCGGCGATTGTCGAGTCGGTCCGCCACTGGCAAATACCTATTTATTTTTCTCTCAGGCTTCCTCAACTGCTTTACAAATCTATGAGGATCTATCATTACGCGCAAATATGTCTCGCAAAAGCAATAAATTCACTTCACTTGATAAAATGATAGAGAATGCTACACACGGAAATCAGTCCATATGTAACCGTATCTGTAGGTAACTGAAGGCAGTGGATCGGCGAAATTTGACAACCC